AATGTGAGCTTTGAAAAAAACACCCCGCCACGTTTTTAAATACCAAATTATTGTTTATCGATTCGGGATTAGGATTGATTTAAAAATTTGAATTTTCAGCGAAATCTGCATTTCTAACTGTAGCTAGATGATTACCAATTTTTTTCCATTTTGAGCGCTGCCGGGGGCTTTGTACAAAAGATCCCACACGTTTGTACTATGCCCTTTGTTAGCCTTCTTAGATTTAACATGAAATCTTCCATATATCTTTGAAATGCTGCGCGTAGTTGTGTGTATGACACTCGAGAATCCCGTCGAAGACCTCCCTCGCGTTCTCCGAATATATTGACATGAAAAGTTTGATTATTGCAGCTTTATATGTTTATGATTGCATATTGGAACAAAATTAGCAAAAGCAAACTTGTTTTTAGGAAAATGTTTCAAAACAAATCCCTATTCTACACCAATTTATCTTTATTTTTAAGAAGTAAGATGACGTAGAATCTACCGATTTTGATTCAACAAAATACAACAGCGTGAATGAATATATTTGCCAAGGGACGTGAGATATCAGAGTTCAATACTGCATACCTTATATAATCAAATATTAACGCCTCAAATTCTTTATGAAAATGCTGACAATGAACTTCAGCTATATAGTTCATGACCTTCCGTATCAAAGTTCTTGTGCTCTTTGCAAATATTTGTGTACTGTAGCATGTCAAAAAGATAATTATATGAAGAGCTGTAAAGAATCGGGAACTCTATTTAATTTTTGATGCGGTCGTTCGTAGCAATGAACGCAGTGCTGCGGTTATTCATGAAACGGCGTCTGTTGTTGCGCAATCGCAAGTCGCAACACAAAATGATAATTTTATAACAATATTCGGCCCATTGTAAATATCTTGATTAATATACACACGAATGCGGGAATGATAAACAAATTTATTTTTTCCACGGAGACGACATATATACATAAAGGACAATACGTCATATGTCACTAACGTCCGAAGCAACCGTTTAACCTTTTACCGGTGTAGCGAATGTGCATTGTGTAATATAATACAACAACATTTGGCAATCCAAACACTGTGTGCTTAATAACGTCCGAAGGAATCCAGATTGAGGTCACAATTCCGTAACGCGTGTCAATCTGATAACGCGGGAATCGAACTTTACGTACCTAGGGTTGATAGTCTTTCTCCCTATACCAGTAAATTTATCAGTTATATATTAACTGAGACAAAGCACTTGTCAATAATATTCACGTTAAGATCAAGTTTTATTAGATAATTTGCATTAAGCCATAGGATTCGACACGCAAGCAGCTTGCAATTAATTCATAAAAATAAGAATTGCAAAACCAGTCGAAAACAGCTTTGTTGAAATTTGAGCAAATAATGCGCAGAAGAACTAAAGTTTTACCAATCTATAACATAGCAGATTTTATTTTTTAAACCAGTGAAGATTTACGTAGCTTTGAATTCGGTGCACACTTTTATCCAAATATGTACTCGCTAGCCTTTTTCGGTCTTATACTTTGGCGATATTCACCATAGATATATTTTTTGTTGTTCTGTTTATCACGACTCATACTGCCTAATGACAGCGAACATTGAGTGTATAGATAAATAATTTTGAGTTTAGGTATTATTCGTCTTATTGTTTTTTGTTAGAAGTTTTACTGAACACATAAAACAAAATCAGAGAATATGATAAAGAATGTTAGACTACTTTGTTTTGAGGAGTTTTGCCATTTTTTTTTTTAAATATTTTCCTCTTGGAAAAAACCGACAGGGGTGTCATGGGTATTACCACATCACCAGTAGACTAAAATATTGTAGTTTATTAAACCGCAATGCAAAACGTCACTAAATTATAGTTTAATGCGAGACACTTCAAAACAGAAGAATGATCCAGCACGCAGGCAGGTACCAACTATATGGTGTGTTCGGGCGGAGAAGTTTTTGTCATGATATTTTGATAGAAATAACTTGTTTTATAGAAATCAAAATGTCTAGTAATCATTTAGCAATATCTGATAGTCTCATTATTTATGTAAATGGAAAACAAGGTAAGTACAATAGTGCAAAAGAATTTTTTTTTTTGTACAAACCAGCAACAAAATTTGAATTTCGGAGAAATGAAATATATAATACTATATTATCAAATTTCCATATAGCCATAAAATTTATACCTTTCCACATCAAAGTTTTTGTGCCCTCTGCAAATATTCGCGTAGCATATTAAAAAAATAATTATATGAAAAGCTGTAAAGAATCTGGAACTGAGTTAATTTTTGTCCCGGTCGTTCGTAGCGATGAACGCAGTGGAGGTTATCCATGAAACGCCGTTTGTTGTTTTACAAACGCAGCACAAAATGACAATTTCAAATTTTGCCAGTAGAAAAGGTTCTGCTTCGAGCAAACTTAAAATTCTGTTACTACAGTGATGATAGAATATAATTATATATATACAAAACAAATGATATTTAGGAAGTTGCAATGTCCACCTATTCTCATGACTATTGCGTCATGCCAGATGCACACTCTGTCAATTTCTGCAGCAATCACAGTCCCGTTCTGTTGAATTCTTTTTCTCTTCTACATCCATCTTTTTAGTGATCGAAAATACGTAAAGTTACGTTCACTTTATTATCATTACGTTACTACTTGACCACGTTACTTTAGGGTAATTTGCTACGGAATACGGATTACTTCATAAGTATTTGTTTTAAAGCATTTGTTTAGAAAAAGCTTTTTTGCCAATTTTGTTTTAAATACCTTTTGTATGAAATATGTTATGATATGATAACAAAAAAATGACGCACAAGAATCTTCTCTGTTGATTGATAATCTACATATAACTCTAGGTAGAACATAAAGTAGGAACGGAAGAAAAATGGTTTCATTCCATTCTGTTTCTGTCGTGATTAGATATGTCGTGAGTAGTCCTTATCAACTATGCGTATAATGGATCTACCTTTTAAATGTAGTATTGAAATTTTATTTCGAATACATCGAACGTTTGTGGTTAGGCGTGGTGCTGAATATAACATAAAATAAAAATTTTAAATAAATAAAACGAACAAATAGGTTACATTTTACACCTTTTCCAGGTTAAATGCCATCGAATGGTGCGATAAGGAACTATCTAGATATTAAACATTTTACGATATTATCACAAAAATACATGTTAACTCGTCAATAATATTCACGTTATGATCGAGTTTCATTAGATAAATTCGATTAAACGATAGGGTTTGTCACGCAAGCAGTGGTTTAATTGGTTAATAAAAATAGGAAAACAAATATTGAGCAGAAGAGATAATTGGTATGCTGCAATATTCATATAGCCTAGCCCTAGGCAATAATATTGCCAGTGTAGCAAAACAGCAGCATTCTAAAAGGACAGCATTCTAACTAATCAATTCAAGAGTCTTGCTGCCCACTGACACTAATGAATTTCTGTAACGTTTCGTCTGACCGAGTTCGCATAATAAATAGCTCAAAATTCATAATTTTGTTGTTTTTAAAACTAAAACAGTTATCGCCACACGACACATAATGGATCTTTTGTAGAAAGCCCCCGTCGAAATACAAAAATGATAGATTTGAGGAAAACCCACCCGCAACGTTTTGAATAACATATTAGAAATTGTCTACTTGGAGTTCCTGCACGACATATGCCTATACGAGCCCTGTCCTTGTCTTAAAATTCCGATTAAACGTGTGCGATATAAACATTTACCATTTCCTACAATTAAGAAACGTGAGCTCGTTTTTTGAGTACAATGTCACGTTCCATATTTCGCGCAATAGCGCAACTGTGAACAGCCGCGATCTGTCGTTTTTTTCCGTATAGCTCAAGGTAACCGAAATGACATGAAACAGGTATGCACCCACGCAGACGACTATAACAAGAAGTATGTCTTCTTTAAATTCAACTCAACTATGGAACTCATGATTGTCACATAAACGAAAACGGTGTTTGATGTATTCTTCAAGTATCCGAGTAATAATTGCTTGGAATGGTAGCAAAATGGTTCCAGCGTTTTATTGTATTCTGTTTCTGTAGTGTGATAAAATGTTATGACCGTGTCAGCTATGCGTACAGTGCCTATATTCGATATATCTTTTGAATGGAGTAATATAATTTGATCGCAAATGCTCCAAAACGTTTGTTGTTAGGTGTGGTACTGAATATTACATAAAATAAATACCCCAAGTTACATTTTACACCGTTACCGAGTTGAATACCACGGACTGGTGTGAGAAAAGGATATATAGATAATAAAAACTTTACGATTTTATCAGAAAATTATATTATGTTATCTATTAACTGCGACAAAGAACTCGTCAAAAATATTCACGTTATAATCAAGTTTTATTAGATAATTTATATTAAACCATATAGGATTTGACAAGCAGCTGTAGCAATTGTTTCATAAAAACACGAATTACAAAACCAGTAGAGAACAGCTTGGTATAATAAGTGTGTAACTTGAGCAAATATTGCGCAGAAGAACAATATTTTTAATGAATATTTCATTTTTTAAACCAGTGAAGATAATTGTAGCTTTGAATCCGGTGCACACCTTTATTGCATCAATTTCCAAAAGAGTCGACCGACTATTTATCTAAATATATACTCGTTAGACTTTTTCGGTTTTATACTTTGGCGATGTTAACCATAGATATAGTTTTTTAAAGTGAGTTTTTAATTTTTATAAATCAAAAAGGTTTCGCTTACCTTAGGTATCTGTTCATACGTAACGGCAAGAGTTTTGGGTTTAGTTGGTCTTTGTCTTATCGCGTTTTTTTAAGTTTTGGAATCCCATGGTATGGAATAAATGTTCGAAATAATAATGATAATATTGAACACATAAAATCAAATCAGTGAATAGGATAATGAACGTTGGACGTCTTTGTTTTGAGGAGTTTGAGTATGTTATGTTCGAACAGAGAAGTTTTTGTTATGATATTTCGATAGAAATAACTTCTGATTTGTTTTATAGAAATCAAAATGTCTAGTAATCAGTTAGTAATATCTGATAGTCTCATTTTTTATATAAATGGAAAAAAGGTAAATACAATACTTAATACAATTTTTTTTGTAAAAACCAGCATGGTAATAAAATATTTAGAAAAGTTGGAACTTGAAATTGCATCAATAATCTCTAAATTTTTTTTTTATATCTCATTGATCTTAAAATGAGAACCTAAAAATTGGTATATATTGCTTCTATTTTTCCAACCTATTTAGGCTTCAATACATAGTAAGAAATGAAACAATTAGCAACAATAACACATTCCCTAGATATTTTGGCAAGTAATAGTTTTAAAATCACATAATGTTTTGAAATATTTTGTTGCTGCCGCTTGATTTTTCTACTCCTTTTTAAAGGTAGTGGCATATTTCGGTAAATGTTTTAAATGTGTTTTTTTGAGTTTAAATCACCAGTCGGAAACTCATGTAGAAGCTTGACGGAGTGTGATCTTATGCACTCTGCTTGCTGTGCTAATTCACGAAAAAACTCTGGTATGCTTTAGTACGTTTGTTACTTTCATTTACAACTAGGAAACAATTCATTTAGATCAATGCATTTTAGATCGTAGAAAAGAATGCAGATCCAGAAACAACGTTACTCACCTATTTGAGGAATAATCGTGAGTGATTTAAAATTAATCTGATAGAAATTCAATGCCAACTATCAATGTTTGGCATAGATTGATTGTTGTAAATGAATATATATACTTGAATGCAACTCCGCTATCGTATTTCCATTCGCTTCCAACGCTTTTATCAATATTTCAAGATCGTCAAGTCGCATGTAGGCTGTGATAATGAGTAGGCTACTCTAATATTATTCATTCGGGCAGGAATTAGAGAGAAAAAACGGCTCAATTATAGGGTTGATCTATCGTTGCCCATCGTTTTCTAATTTGATATAGCTTATTTCATTCTAGCCTCCAAGATATACCAATTATATTTATAAATTCCCATCAAAATTGCATCCCCCTACACCCAAACATTTATTGCGCCGATGTAGATATTAGACTGCATAGTATGTTTCTTTGGCAGATTGATACCGGATAAAGCAAGACTTCTTTGCATTTACTTTTTATCTCAGGTATCGAAAGTTTCCATGAAAAATCACTAATTAAAACAATAACAAAATAATTTTTATGTGTTGTTTTAGTTCGTCTCACCGGTTCTAAACTAGGATGTGGGGAAGGAGGGTGTGGTGCATGTACAGTCATGATATCGAAATGGGATGGCAGAAATGGAAAACCGAGGTATATATTTTGTTAATACATGATTGTATTAAGTTACTCCCTGTTTTGACAGGATTTAGCTTAATGACAAATACATTTCACATTTAGTTCAACCCTGGACATTGTCTCAAAACTGATTTGCTAAATTGATCATGACATTTGCTTCAAATAAACATTAATATGCTGACTTTGATCGATTTTGCAAGAATGTTTATTTTGCTAAAATCAAGCCCTGATATGAATTTAAAAAATCCGGCCCGGCCAACAAGGTTGTGTATGTTACATGTTTACAAATTCGCATTTTCACTATAAGCATTTACCAGAGAATATATGTTATAGGTTTAGATATACATTTACCTTTCAGACACTTCGCAGTGAATGCATGTCTTGCACCGCTGGTTTCTGTGAATAAATGTGCAGTAACAACAGTAGAAGGAATCGGTAGCACAAAAACTAAACTTCATCAGATCCAAGAAAGGTTGGCAAAGTTTCACGGATCACAATGCGGATTTTGTACTCCTGGCATAGTTATGTCGATGTACGCACTATTACGTAACAAACAAATTCCTTCTCTCAAAGATATCGATACCTGTATGCAAGGAAATCTTTGTAGATGTACTGGATATAGACCAATTATAGCAGGTATGATGATATGCTACAGCAGCTACGTATATTTTGGTGGCTGAACTAGCCTACGAATAGGTACCTGAAAATTATTAGGTGTAAGTGAAGCAATTATATTTTTGCATTTCATATTTGTGTTTCAGGTTTTGAAACCTTCACGTGTGCAATGGGCAAGAACTGCTGCAAAATTGACAAAAAAATCAAACCTACAGAGCAGCAAATTGAAGGTTCGTTTTGAAATTATATGCAAGTATTTCTAGATTATTTGTCTTTATTGAATAAGAGACCAATACCCCAAAAAATGGACAAAAATCGACCTCGTCCCGGTAGACTAACGTTAGCATATAGCCGCCATATACGACTGTCGTGGATCACGTGTTCGCCCATGCGGATGCGCGAAATCAACCATGCAACGATGAAATTTGTCCAAATTTGTTATGATAAAATATATGCAAACAATAAGTTCCTAGAATACACCGTTTTTACTGTTAAAATTTGATTGACTATTTGAAGAGAACAGTAATTTCTCGACAAAGAAAGAAAATGCAAAATTTCCTAATAGTTTTTGTTCTGATAAAATGTCACTCGATAAAACTACTTCTGATAAAATAATAAATTTACTACTTATGTTTATCAGCAGAACACAGCGATACCAAATGGCAGGCATATGACGATTCACAAGAGCCCATATTTCCACCGGAACTTATGGTAAATCATTTGAAAATTAATTCCTTCCCAAATTGAACCCAACTTTACTGAGAAATTATTTTGCAGCTCTCTGGCAAATTGAAAAGTTCGTTTCGATCATTGAAATATGTTGGAGAGAATGTAACATGGCATCAACCGACAAATTTACAACAACTGTTGCTTTTAAAAAATGAGCATCCCGAGGCCAAAATAGTAGTTGGAAATACAGAAGTTGGAATTGAAATGCATATTAAAGGAAGAAATTATTCTCAAATAATATCACCAACGAATGTGAAGGAATTGAACTGCATGGAAGAAATCGATGATGGTTATTAAGTTATATTTAAATGTTATTTCGTTTTTAATGTTTTGAAACCCTAAAACGCCGCAAAAACACTCCGTGCTAAAACATCACCATGACGCCAAAATTCCAATAAGACAGGTTTTCGGGCATGAACCATATGTTCTAAAATTGTTCACAAGATAGATATTACAGAAAGAAATACGTCGCCAGCAATAACGAATTTGAAATTTTAAATCGGTTCAACTTTTCACATAAGAATCAATCCTAGTCTCAAAGTTTTGCTTCTAAAATCCGGTTCAAAAATGTCTACTTATAACACATATTTAGTTCTGGCCGTGAGGAAAAGATTAATCAGCAGACATTTTCAGGTGTTTCCATTGGCGCAGCGTGCAGTCTCAGCGATGTTGAACAATTTTTGAAATCTGTGTCCAAGAAAAGAAGAAAACAAGAAACTCAAGTCATTTGCTCAATACTTGAAATGCTAGAATTGTTTGCTGGGATGCAAATTCGAAACGTAGCGGTTAGAATATTTACTTGCAATAATAAATACATTTGTAGCTAAAATTATTATCTGTTGTCGAGGAAAAGCAAAGTCTTAAATCTGAGACTTCCATATATTAACAAAAAACACATACAAAAATGTTCTGATGAAAATCCAAAATACCTCACGAGAGGCTGTAATTGTATGGATAGTGATGTGCTATCAGAACCATGAATTTTTTTCACTATGGTAACTTTTTTATTTAACATTGTTCAAATGAAATGTTTAAACACATTCCGCATTGAGTATTATAATTTTACAAATGCTTCCGTTGAAATATCCTATTGTTAAATTTATCTCATATATTTAACAGTCTACTATTTTGACTAGCGGCGCTTTGATCATACTACTGATACATACCACTACCCTTTTTTTACAATATTAGTCTACTTGTAAAATTTTATGAGTTTTAACTAAACTTGCAGCCTATATATACATTGTAAATTTTATATACCTATAATTCAATATAATTTCATTATTGGATCTCGTGGTCATAAAACCCTTACGCAGAATAGATATAAAATGTGGTATTAAGAGTCACTTAAATTTAAAACTGGAATGCGTGATTTAATGTTGACACAAGCGAAAAACTATCAAGGTCCTTTTGAAATTATTAAACTATATGTAAATCAAACCACACTGCAAAGCGAACTACACTTCAAAGCGAACAGACTAATATTATCAACAATTTATTTTCATTGATAAAAAGTCATTTTTATTAAACTTAATAATGTTTAAAGTCTCCAAATTGTTCCCATTTCAATTTAAACTACAGCCATTTGAATATAAATGGCAGCTCAACGAAAAAGAAAACTAAACTTAAATTAAAATAAACTTAAACTTAGCTTAAACTAAAGCAAAAGGGTGACAGAATACAAAAACTAATTATCGCATTTCAAACAGTGACGTTTTATTAATACGTTTGCCTTTTTTAGAAACTGTGCAATTCCTTATCTAGTAATGAAATCCAAACTTTTCCATGTTTCAGTGCATCGGTGGAAACATCATGACAGCAAGTCCAATATCAGACCTCAATCCCATTTTACTTGCGGTTGGAGCAAAACTAACTTTTGCTTCATCAAGTTCTGGTTTGAGAGAAATTCAAATGGATGAAAATTTTTTTATTGGATACAGAAAAACGAACACAAGAAAAGATGAGATCTTGATTTCAATAAAAATTCCATTTCTTACTGAAGTAAGTATTTGAGAATGACCTTTTCTTGAATTTATGGTCCAACGCGATAGAGCATATTATCAAGTAAATATCGGCAAGATTCAGATGTCAATTTGTAGATAGCCCATTATATTCTTAGTCAGAAAACATAATGTATTACATAAATTAAATGATTAAAATAAATCAAAATTATCGCAATGTATATGGTTTATCGCAATGACTTTGCCGCAACAATTCACACTAAATAATGCAAACCAATTGCAGTGTGTGAAAAAATGTCTGTGCAAAAGTCCAGTCGAACCCGAGTACAAATCTTTCTTCTTTTTCTCCCTAACAATGAGTTATTTGTGAAGAAAGGCGAAATGTGGCTCAGCTGAGTTACTTATGATTACTTATGACTTATGATTAATGGTGGGTAGTATAATGTTTTTTTGCCTCAATTTGTTTATAAGGATGACGTCATGAAAGCATTTAAACAATCAAAAAGAAAAGAAGATGACATAGCTATAGTAAACTCAGCAATGCATGTTGCTTTCGAACCTGGAACAAAAACGATTGAAAAGCTATCAATTGCCTTTGGAGGAATGGCAGCAATAACAAACGCTGCAAAACAAACAATGAAAAGAGTTGTTGGAAGGTAATCAGTATTCAAAAATTGCATTGGTTTCAATTGTCAAATCCCCAAATATCACTTTTCTCCCAACATTAGATCTGCTGTTAGTTGACCATGAGCTCGACGAGAACCATCAGCGGAAAAATTTCGTGGTGAATCAAGTTTGAAAACCAGTAATTTTAGGGGTAAATCCAGGGCTCTCAATAAAAAAATGCAAAACACAATGAAAATAGTTCTCAGCAATATTCCTTTCTCTTTACCTGCTAAATACTTGAGCTTCAACTGCTCAATATAATATTTCAGTTCTCGATAATAAGTTTTTTTTATTGTTAAGACAACAACAACAACATGATAATAATTTAATAAAATAATAAATAATTAGAGCTCCGGAAGTATGTGCACTATGTTAGGGTTCAGGATGTGCGTCATCTTGGTGTACATACTTCGGGAGCACCAAATAATTTCACCTCATATTTGATAATACGATAAAGATTGATTATATTTACTCTACTATGCAATATAGATCATGGGACGAAAGACTGCTCCATGACGTCTGCTCGTGGTTGGATGAAGAAATGAAACTATCTCTTGATGCTCCGGGAGGAATGGTTCAGTATCGGCGTACACTAGTGACGAGCTTTTTCTTCAAATTTTACCATTACACATTGGAAGCTTTATTGGAAAACGGGGTGGTGCAGGTTGGTATTAACTAAATTTATTTCAGGTCAGTCGATTGAATTATAGGCCGAGTAGACAAGTATCTATCTATCTCTTACAATTTCAAGTTCTTCTGCTTAAATTTTCCTTTATACACAGGTTGAAAACATCAATATAAGTCGAGTAATAATTGGTGATTTAACAGCTGAAAACGAACAATTCACAAGCACGCAGACGTGGCAAGAGGTATTTCGGTTTGTTTATTTTTTGTTTTAAGCACATCATATTGAAATTTTGTTTTTCAGGTACCTGAAGATCAAGATACATATGACACGATCGGTCGTCCGATTCCACACCTTTCAGGTTTAAAACAAGTAACTGGTGAAGCGCTATACATCGATGATATTCCTCCCTATAGAGGTATTGTAAGATACACTTTGCGACCTTTTCATTTTTATCGTCAAATATTGAGCCAGCATATCTTTAGTGACTACGACAAATGCAGGAGCGGTGAATTTGTAAGAAACTTTACGAAACTTTACGATTTAACAACAGAGGCCTTCTTGCTTTTACGCGAAACTAGAAAAAGTATAAATATATTTATATATTAATAAAATACATTATGTATAATGCAATTGATTTATTCACATTTGTAGAAGAATTGCATATGGTACTGGTATACAGTACAAGAGCTCATGCAAAAATAATCAATGTTGACCCCACCCCGGCACTGGAATATACCGGGGTGGTATCATTCGTGGACAAAAATGACGTCATTGGAAAAAATGATCTTGGCATGTACGGCGAAGTGTTTGCCGACGGAAAGGAAAGTTTAAATAAATTTTTTTCATTCTATTTATTTATAGTAACTTTCGATTTAGATATTCTAAATCAATCATAAAAGATTATTGATCAGACTCAGTCATTCAAAAATCCATCCTACGCAGAAAAAGCGGTATAAACAATTTTTTTTTTTCTATACTCAGGCCTTACGAGAATGTGGTTTACAGAGTAACAATTTGCATTTTTTGTAGTTTTGGTCAGATTGATTGCGTCTTGGTTGTAGGACAGAAAATTTGAGCTTGTTCAAGTGTTTTTTCATACTTGCTCACTTCGGACATTTGGCATAAAAAATAATACCCGATGAAACGGCTACATTACATGACGAATCAAGAGTCGACGGTATTTCTGGGTTAGCAGTTGAAGTCGGGTATAAGATTAGCATTGTAAACTTTATATGCACATGGGATGGGATAAGTGTGGATGGAGTAGAGTTTTTTAATTCATAGTATTAGGAGTTTCTATACCACTACTAAAGCTACGTTTAAACACCTCTATAAACATGCAGGTATCATGTGTGGGTCACGTCATAGGAGCTATTGTAGCCGACACACAAGCGCACGCAATCAAAGCCAGTCGAATGGTGAAAATAACTTACGAAGATATATTACCACGAATTATTACCATTGATGTAAGTAATTGTATTCGCCCAGTCATTGTTTCATGAATCAAATTATATGGTATAATATCAAAGGTTTTCTTTTGCATGTTCAGGACGCTATATTGCACAACTCATTTTCAAGCACCATTAAATTAAACAAAGGAAACGCTGAAGAAGAATTTAAAAATTGTGACAACGTCATTGAGGATGAGGCAAGGTTTGATCATTACAATAAAATATTTTGTTTTCTGTTACTACTACGCAAATGTTTGTGAGACATGTTTTAAAATTCAGGAAATATTCACTTTCTTATAACGCCGGTTTTGATTCCAATTTTACGCAACTTTACCCTTCAAACGCACGCACGCTCACACGCAATTTCCTATTCAGCGTTTGTATATAGATGACTTCTAAGTAAAAAATTGTCTAGGAAGAATTCAACAATTTCCTATTCAGCTTTTGTATAGATGACTTCTAAGTAAAAAATTGTCTAGGGAACATTCAACAATTTCCTACTAGTTCCCGTTCAACTTTTGTATAGATGACTTCTAAGTAAAAAATTGTCTAGGAAACATTCAACAATTTCTTATTCGTTCCTATTCAGCTTTTGTATTGATGACTTCTAAGTAAAAAATTGTCTCGGACAGTGGTTCTCAAACTTTTTAGAGTTGGGACTCACTATTTATTACCACAGCTTATGGCGACCCATTTAACTTTTTATGGCATAACACAGAACACAGCAATGGCTAATCATCGCAAAACTACCGTGTTTCCTCGAAAATAAGACCTGACCTGACAATTAGACCTAATTTGAATTTTAAAAATGATTTGAATTGAACCCAACCCTTAAAATAAATTTAATATGTGTGGGAGAGGAAAGTTGAAGATCACACCTCTATTCAAAATTATGTGATGTCACAATCATAATTATGATAATTCTCACTTGATTTTTGTATAGGAAATACAAATAAAAACAATGGATGTCAGTTTTTATAGAATGTTTATTAAAAAATCTCGTGATTTTCTACAATGTAATTTTATAAATGAACACAAAAGACCTCTTCCCAAAAAAAAAAATTATAGTGTTATTCTTCAAAAGAAAATAAATCTAAATCATGTCTAAATTTCGGGGAAACACGGTAAGAAGTTCTGTACAGTGTACAAAACTGCTATGCGTAAAAGAGCCACATGGTCATTCTTTGTGTAGCAAATTTTTGTTCCTTTGAGAAGATCGTAAAAAGGAAACTTTTACATATTGGAATTTAAATTCAATTCAGTTTATTTTGTTTTTTTGAAGATTTACATATTCGAGTCGCCACCGATCCCAATAACCAGTATAATTAATCAAAGCTTTCTACATCCATTCACGACCCACTAAGATTCCTTTTGCGACCCATAGTTTGGGAACCGCTGGTATAGGGAGGAAGGGAGCATTCAACAATTAAGTTGGGTGCCAAAGACGGACCCGGAAAAAACTCCAGTTTGCATGGCTAGGTTGGGTGCACTATAATGCATCTTGTTTACAGGTATATTTATGTTTGTAATACAAATTTAGCGAAAAATATGAACGATTCTATGTTTAGAGTTGGTGGACAAGAACATTTCTATATGGAGACTCAATGTTGTATTGCTATTCCGAAAAATGAAGACGGAGAAATGGAAGTATTTAGTTCATGCCAACATCCAACCGGATTGCAATCTATGGTAAGACTTACATGATGATTTTACCATTCGACACTTTTTCTTTTCTTTGAACCACGTAGGAAATTTTACACTTGCAACACGCAGAATTGCTCATAATAAAAATTCATTGTTCAAATTATTTTACAGCAATGCATTCATTCTTCTACTTTCAGTTGTTGGCTTATTATTATTATTAAACGTGAGACTAAAATAACCGATGAAAAAAAATTGTAAATTGTCAGTATTATAAATTAAATCATCTTATCTTTGTCAGGCTGCAACATGCCTGGGTGTTCAGAGGAATAAGGTTACCGTTCGTACGAAGCGACTCGGCGGTGGGTTTGGCGGAAAAGAATCTCGATTTGGCGTCATATCGAATCCTGCAGTTACAGCAGCAAGAAAGTGAGAGAATATGGCTATGTTTGTTGTTAGATTGAAATAGAAAATCTGAAACTTGTATTGAATGCGTTATCGGATTCAGAATTAAGAAAATAACAATTTAACTGACATTCAAATACCCCCGAAGGCCATCCTGTGAATCCGAGAATAGAAAGCCATGGAATTAACCAAGATATAGGCCCCATCTAACGAAGTTTTGTACTCGTACAAAAGTTATAACAATATTCCCATTGAAAGAAATGTCTAACGATTTGCAGATGTCATTTGTAAACAAGCGAATTATATGATTTCCCATTTTTAGACTGGGGAAACCAATACGATGCGTGTTGACACGACAAGAAGATATGCAAATCACCGGTGGCCGACATCCATTTTTAGCAAAATATAAAGTGAGAGGGGTCGAAGTTATATATTTATGTTACACTGTTAAAACATAAATTGTAGTCAAATTGAAAGCCTCTGCAAAAAACAAACAGACGTCATGGATTTTTAATTTAAAATTATATAATGACGAATGAATTGGGTTTTAAAGGGCTAGTCTAATTGCTATTCCGACTTGAGGCAAAAATTAGTCTTTCTCATCACGTAATACGTTTATTTATCCACATTTTTACATTTACGTATGCTTTCGTTATTCATATTTTCCGTTTATGTTAAGATTGGATTTGACAACGATGGCCGAATCAAAGCACTGAAAATAGATCTTTACAGCAATGGAGGGAATTCAGATGATTTATCTTATGGAGTAATGACAAGAGCTGTTACACATGCTGACAATTGTTATAAGTAAAAAAAAACGTTTAAAAATTTTACAAAACAAAGTTAAAGGAGTTTCGAGTGGCTTTTATCTGGCGAAGTTCTCGAGAAGGCTGTTACAGAATAGACTATTTCTGGTTTTGTTTTTAATCAGAGTTGCCTGCAAGTGGTATTAGACAAAAGAGTAACTTGATAAAGTCATGCACACAAATTAAATCGCAATAACACTCCCACACCCTGTCCAAACAGTTATTTATAAGAGAAGTTTTTTTGTGTTCAAAAATCATTAGGCCTCCCCTCATTATTGTCCGTATATTGGGTGTTTTCCCGACCTTAACACCTGATAAATTCTTCGTACGACCATTGCAAAATTTGTGATGCTTATTTGTGAGGATGATTTCGCAAGTCGCGCCATGTTTACAGGTTTATAACCAGTATTTTAAGTCAAACAAACCACCTGTTGTTCAAATGTACTGATAGCGAATTATAGCCCAGTTTATTGCAGCTTTTTGGGGGACTAATTTTAGGTTATTGCAACTCAACTAAAGCTCCGCGAAAGAACATTAATTCACGCCTAAATGTCGGAAACAGAACTAAAAACCAACATGTATTTAGCTAAACCCCAATAACGATCTAATATATATATACCAACATGACTATTTTGTGCGATGACGTCATCAAAATTATTTGTTTTATCAGCGTGCCTCATATGGAAGTAACAGGACGTATATGCAGAACCAATATCGCATCAAATACTGCTTTCCGGGGATTCGGTGGACCTCAGTCTATGATTATATCGGAAAGTTGGATAACAAAAGTTGCTGAAACTTTGAATATGGACCCAGAAATGGTACGATTGTTATAGTAATAGTGAGTGTGCTGGAAAATACAATGCCTAACGTTACGTTTCAGGTTCGTGCATTTAACATGTATACGGACGGCGACAAAGTTTTACACGGATCCATACTCAAGCAATTTAAGGCAAAACGATGCTGGGAAGAATGTCTTGACAAATCAAATTTCCACAATACTCAAAAGGAAATTCGTGAGTTCAATAAAACCTTCAGGTTTGTAAATCTAGATTATAATATTATAAATTAAATTTGCATTTGTTTTGAAATAACAATGTAGCTTGCATTAAAATGAATTAACCATACTAATATAATCACCTTTGCTAGATGGAAAAAACGAGGTATTGCTTGTATACCATCTAAATATTCAGTTGGATTCGGTCTTAAACATTTGAATCAGGGTTGCGCTTTGGTGCTAATATATACCGATGGAACAGTATTATTGTCACATGGTGGAACTGAAATGGGACAGGGATTAGACACTAAAATGGTTCAGGTAAATCAAATCTTACGTTAATATTCTCATAGCAAATATGTATTAATCGAATACGAAATGGATATCCATGGGTACAGTGTGTACTTCTTGGTTGTATTCCTTTATATGCAATTTTTAAAATTAAAAATAAAAATTTGACACGCACCACCATAACTTCTGCAAGATTGTACCTAATGCATTAAGACTAGGATCATCAAAAAATGTTCAGTATTTGTAAATATTTTATTTTACTTGGTAACATATATAAAACGTTGTGAAGGATTATAAGTAAGGGTGATAAAATAGGCAACTATTGCCACACACAGACAAGCTTGCAGTTATTCAAGAATAGTCAAACAGATTGTTGGCCCTCAATAATGATGTTAATTTTGGTAAATACAGATGGCAAGTAGATCATTGGGAGTGCCTATTGATATGATACATATTTCTGAGTGTTCCACGTCGTCTGTACCGAATGCATCTCCAACAGCAGCAAGCACTTCAAGCGATATAAATGGAATGGCGATCAAGGTCTATTCATTTAATTAAGCACGGATCAATCATTCGGTTTTGAAGTTCAAATTCCCTCAACTTCCTTCTGTTTTTACACATTTTTACACACAACACATTTTTTATATAATTACATCCCATACCTAATAAATAGCGCATGATAAAAGACATTTGACATTACTTAAAAGAATAATGCTATCAACTAAGAAAAATATTGACTGCCATGTGTTATCCTATCATAGCGCTTAAAATTCTAATAAAACGTCATATAATTTATGTTCCAGGAAGCTTGTGATAAAATTATGTCGAGACTTCAGCCGCTGAGGAAATCTCATCCCAATATTACTTGGGTGGAGCTCATTAACAAAGCGTATATGGAACGCATAAGTCTTTCGGCAACCGGTTTTTATAGGTATTACGATAATTTTTCAAATACATCATGTAAAGCACTCAAGGTAATAATACGATCCCCAAGCCTCACCAACGAGTTACTTCCCACCTAAAAATGTTCACGTTCGTCATAAGTTTTTTGACAAAATATTCTAGCGTACTAATCAGAGTTGTTATTATACTGGCTACTTCGCCACGGAATACGTCCCGCTTCTCTATTTCCAGTGTTTACCAATACCCATTTGTATTGCAGAACTCCTGGGCTAACTGACGAATGGAATCACAAAACTGGAACTGTGTCAGGAGATATGTTCAGCTATCTTGCATATGGAGCTGCAGTTTCTCAAGTAGAAATTGATGTATTGACTGGGCATCATGTTGTGCTGAAAACTGATCTGGTTGTTGACGTTGGAAATAGCTTGAATCCCGCTATTGATGTTGGACAGGTACACAGTAGTAGGAAAGCAGGCCCACGCCTACATAGCATTAGAACGCAATATCTATATATAACAGAAAAACTCCTATTCAGAAAATAATCTACGCAAAGAATATAATGTGGAGAATATAAATAATGGCGACGGCAAGTTGCAACATGACGTTTATTTCCTTACATTTGTGCATTACATTTTTGTTCAGATCGAGGGTGCATTTGCGCAGGGATACGGCTTAGTAACTTTAGAAGAAATGCTTCATTCTCCTTCGGGACATTTATGGACTGTGGGCCCAGGAGCCTATAAAATACCAGGATTTGCTAACACGCCAAAGCATTTTAACGTACACTTGTTGCGGAGTTGTCCTAATGAAAAGGCGATTTATTCTTCAAAGGTGATTTTCTGGTTTTACTCGCAATTAGCAATAATATCAACAACGATTTTTGCTTTAAATTAAGATTTAGAGTGAAAAATCGTGGAGCGTGGTCCGTATATATTTATATTTGTTTCAAAAAATCGTTGTATTATACTCAAATACCATGCAATTGTATTGGGTTTCTGATATACAACAATACTTTACGTTTCTGACGCTCAACGAATACAATTCGAACAGTACAGTTGCAAACATTTCCAGTTATGGCTGGGACTTGGCAATCGAATAATTGAATCGAATATTATATCATTTGAATCGGTTCAGACGACAATTTCAAATCGCTGCCATCTTTTTTTTTCTGTTTTCCAAAGGTCGAAGTGAATTCCTCAATTTTTTTTTTGTTGAGGCCATATTTTTGAAATGCAATCCTGACATACGACTCTTGTTGTCCTGGTGAGTTATTGATACAAACATGTATTTCATTGTATGTGAACACTCAGCAAACTCTAAGGGTGGTGAATTTTATGTTTTCAGTATAATTCTTGTGTTGGGAGGACCCATTACAAAAAAGTCATCTTCAATTATATATCTCATAAGTATTCGAGATTCGATTCGAAAAAAATATATTCGATTCAATCCTAAAATCTTCAGGTATTTGAAAATGCCCAGCCCTAGTTATGGCCAACCGCAAATATAATATGTCTGAAACTTGTATAGCACATGTAAATTTTGTACCGAGAAACGATATTGACAGTTTCAACATATTCATGTTCAGAGAACTTTATTTGATGTTTACTTTCCAGGCTGTTGGTGAGCCGCCATTATTTCTAGCTTCTTCCGTTCTTTACGCAATTAAAGATGCAATAAAATCCGCACGGGTGGATGCTGGCATGACTGGCGCTTTCAGACTTGACAGTCCGGCTACAGCTGAAAGAATTAGATTAGCTTGTGAGGATGATTTTGTTAGAAAGGTGAGTTTGTATGAAGATACGCGAAGATTTTTTTCCCTAATAACAAAGTCGGTCGCTTCAGATTTTAAATAGCCTGTCTACTAAAAAGATTTTATTTATAAATTGCTTGTGTTTTTAAAAATATTCCGTCACTACCTGTCTTTTTAACCTATCAGATGATCCCTGATTGTGGTATGTTTATGTGTCGGTCTACTGGTAGTTGTACTCTAACGACGAGTTTCTTTTTTTAATTCAACAAGATAAGTTGAAAAATAAAGATAGAGCTCATATTGAAGTAATTTTGTGTTACAACACACACATATATATATATATACATAAATAAGCAACAAGAATACTCCCTGATCTTTTCTGTGTCGCAAGATTTACCAATTCTTTAATCAAATTTACTTCAATACGTTTGATATTTTGCAAGGCCAAACCAACTGAAGATGAAAATGGATTGCAAGCTTGGGCAGTGAGGGCGTGATTATCAAGAATTACAGCATTTTCAATGAGAAAATGGCTTCTTCATCTAAGAATTGTATATTATTAATTTTAATGCTCAGCAGTATTATATATATATATATAAGAGCAATAATCAAATATATGGACACGCATAACAATTCCCTAAAAATCATATGTATCACGGTACAGGGATTGTCATAGATATTTTAGGTCCTGTGACAATGATCCATTCTTCTTGATTATATTGAAACATCAATTGAAATATCTCGTGATATGAGTCAACTATGTACCGTATTAACGGATCAGGTACCGAACCACAGTCAAAGATTTCGTATAAAAACGTTACTAAATAACATTCGTCAACTTAACACCACCTGAATCAGGTTACAAATTTTGATACAGTGACTTTCATAGTCGTTTAGGGCTGATGGACAATTCGACTACACGGACAACTCACCAGGTCTATCTGTAGTCGAGTTGTCTTTGGTGAGTTGCAGAGATTAGCGGAGTCAGAAGTTTGAGACTCCGACCTGATCCGAAATCAAAATTCGAATTCAGACTCCCGACTCCGAACAAGGAAAACTATGACTCCCGTTTCGCTCCTGTTGACAAATCTAATTTTAACATATTTTAGTGTTCACTACAGCAGAAACATCAAAAACGTGCAGCGCTGATGTATTATTTATGTTTATTACACACATCGGAAACATTTGAAAATATTCATTATTATATTTCCCAAACTCGCATTTAAACATTGTTAATAATTTATTTTGAATTGCTGGAATTTACATTACTGAAACTACATGGGACTGACCATGTTTTATAGTGTTCACTACAAACAGTGGTGGGATTCAAATTTTTTGTCAGTCGGCTCCATCGTAAGAGTAATATTTTTCAGTCGGTTCTGTTACAAAAAGTCATATTTTTTGATTAATGCTAACCGGTTCGCTGATCTCATAAAATTCCGTGAGATGGTTCTATAGAACCCGCTGAATCTCACCACTGACTGCAACTGATCTAAACTTCGCAAAGTCTGCGGTATTACGTAAGCTAGCACACACCCATTACTATGTTCAATAAAACATAAAAACTACATGGTAAAATCAAATAGCACCTATGTATAATCAGGTTGACTGCCAGGCGCCAGCACATCAAAACACTAGCAGAAACACACTAGCAGAAATGGCAGTCCTGTGGTATTGGCACAAACAAAAGTCCTGTTGTACATGAAGTGGAAGCCGCAACAATAATTGCAACACGCCGTTAACCCAGCAAATATTTTTTGCATTAGTAAGACCGCGACCACCATATTTCAGAACATGTTGAACGTTGTTAGGAAGGTTGTAATGCTTCTTACTTGACATATTTGTTGTTTATGTGTTGACAGCAGAACTGTAACAAAACAGCAACAAGATGAGCATAAACATGACAGCTTGCAGGCATACAAATAAAATGGAATAAGTTAATTTGACTGCAAAAAAAATAACACAGTAACAGTAAACATGTAAATGAGATGAACTTGGTATGCTCTGGCATTAAGACTTACATGCGTCACATGTTAAAAAAAATTGGTGATGCTTCTTCCTTAGCATATTTCTGTTGTTTCCAGCAAAACTGTATTAAAAAAGCAAAAAGATCATAAGCATGAAAGTTGGAGAATAGAATGATGTACGTTAGATTAGACGTTAATTTTACTACAGGTAATTAAAAAGATGTACGTTAGATTAGACATTAATTATACTGCAGGTAATGGCATCGGTAAATGAATTGACTTAATTTCACTGTTAAACATTTGATATGCTCAGCACTTACACCAACCCCGTGTAACCCCGGAAATTTCTCCCGATGTTGAACTCGCCGACACGCTTGACTTGGTGCTGACAGATTATTATTGCTTCGAAAATCATCGTGCGACATCCTGCGTTTTTCTGTGTTCTGACGGCACTGTATCGCGTCAAGATTAAGTGAGTGACCTATAAATATTCAAGTTAGTTGTGCACATGGAATATTACACGATATACTTGACTATAGAACTGATAGAATGCAGATTACAAAACAAAATAGAGGAACAATCAATTGAGTGGGAAGGCCCTAGGACCGGTTCAGCACTCGAAAGCACATCGACAGTAAGATTTTATATTCACTTTAAAGCTACCATGAGTAGATGTAGTCTAGTAGAGTGCCGCTTTGGGCTACGATTGTTCAGCATAAAAAAGAGTAAGTTGTAAATGTTCTTATAGGTACCCAATACAGTAATGATTTGTCAAGGAATGTAAATTTTGATAAGAGATATGTGTATTTTGGAATCATAAAAAAGTTGCAGTGTGAGGATTTATGCTCTGTGATCAAAGCAGTAAGCAAGAATAAATTGACTGATGGGTGATTGAAATCGTGACGTCTGTATGAAAAACATAAATTAAACACACATGTTTTAACTTCAATTAATTAGTGTTTTATGATGGAGTTCCACTGATCTTGATAATTTTTTCCCAGACTCATTCTGTCATTGTATACAAAGTCACCAGCTGCATATTACAACATAAGAGGTGTTTTACGTTTGCCATGATAATCCATTTTGCTTGATTTCAGGCTGGTACTAATAACTTTTTTCACATGAATTGGATACCTATTATTGCTATTATCTAAACATGGCTTGAACATATATATATATATATTTATAATTTTAGGTGTGCCAAAAAGTTTTGAATTATTTTGTCGAGTGTTTTTAAATTATTGATTTGTGATCAATAGCAATAACTTTTTTGCTACTGCAAAATCCACCACATTTATCGAATGCAATAATATTTCTCCTGGAACCGTTACATTTTATTATTTCCAATTTGTTTTGTGGCGTATTCACATTTTTGTTTCAAATAATACTTTGTCAAATTGACTGTTATACTTATATATAAACACATACATGCTTAGATGGTAGACAAGGTTCAATCGTTGTGGTCAATTTATTTCAAAATATCGTAACTAAAATATAAATTTTTGCAGACGTCTCGAAACTCACCTTTGAAAAATGATTTGCTGTCACCAGATGGGGTTTTGGCATGGAAACACATCTAGAGGGAATTTATGAAGATATGTCTAAAAAATCATTTGAAACAGCCATGTAAACTAACAGATCAACATGTTTAACTCAATAGCTTGATAAAAATGTCTGTTAAATATTAAGCACAGCTATAGCACAAAGAATTGTTTTGGGTATTAATTCATTTGTATTTTCCTATTAGATCTATCTCCTATTGAGCATTTAAATACTTGGATCATGATTATTATTTCTAAAATTACCAACACTATTCAAGTCATTAATAACGGATGAACCGGGGAAATGTTTCTTTGTAGGTTCTTCCTGCATCTGTTGCTAGGATTTCGGAGATGTCTGAATTTGAAGCAACGCCAAGTTTTGCGAACTGCAAAATACCTTTTTTAACATATGCAACAGCACTACTGACGTGGCTTCCCTCAAAAACGGAAATCTACTACTACTCTCCGAAACATCTGGAGACAAAAGACTGTAGTAGATCAGCTGAAATTTCATAAATGACTTTACACACTGGAAGTCTAAAACAGGTGATTAGCTCAAAGATTTTTTAACAAAATAAATGCTATACAGCTACATGCAACACATTTTGTAGTCATATTTAAAAAACAACAACATTTCATTGCTTCTCCAGCGTATGAAGGGCTCCAAATACTGGTACCTCCAACATGTGATATACCATATTAGACCAAACATCTGTCAGACCCCCCTTCAAGTGTAAGATAAAAGTCTACTAAATTGTATATCATACATATAAATTTTACGTGGCTTGAAACACTTTTTAGAGTTAGACCATCGGGACTAATATAAACTAACATTTGCGATCAGACCTGCTAGGTGTTTTGGTCTAACTTGTCAATTCGAAGTTTCAGCCCCCCCCCCCCCTCAAAATCTTCAGTTATGGCCGTAGAGCCTCACCCTAAATATTGAATGAATCGCCAAAAGATTTTCAGTTTAAAAGATGCATATTTTGCAGGTCGCGGGGCTGGGAATCCATCGGTGCTCCAGTTGATTGAAAGGCAGCAAAGGAAAAGAACTATGTAGCAATGTCCACGTGATAGAACCTAAATTGCCTTTTTACTCCAGCTAAGAACCACTCCCAAAGCTTTAAAAAACATCAATATCGATTCAGTGTTTATTCACATTAGTAATTAAAATAATAATTTGTATTTCGATGGATTATTGAGAAAAAAACTTGGGTACTCCAGAAATACGTGTACCAAGATAACGGACAACGGAACATAGTATGTGTACCAGGTTAGTCCATACTTTTAGGTACAAATACCACAAAACTCACTTGGTTAGTCCCTGAATTCGTAATGGAACTAAATTAGGGAAAAAGGAATAACATTTTGGCCTGACCTTAACGTGATACACATACTACGTTCCGGTGTCCTCATTTCTTGGTGCGCATACTTCAGGAGTACGGAAACTTGACTGTAATCACATACATCTTAATCTTCGTTCTAGCTGCTTTCTTTAATTGTTTTCGTATTCCATGAGTCCTATTGTCCATCTTGTTGTTATTATTTTGGCTGCAGTACTTTGCGTATACATTTGCTCATACATTTACATTTCTTCGTCCTTCCAGCAAATATTTCGATCAGTCATCAATGAATAGGGCAGGGCTTGTAATACTTCTTTCTTTGCATATTTATGCATTTGTGGTGTTTCCAAAAAAAATGTAACAAAACAGCAAAAAATGAGAACAAGTATCGCAGTTGTACAGACATGCATTAATAAAAATAAAAAATAATAATTGAATTTCTCTGCAGTCACACAAGACTAAAAGTAAATAAATTCGGTAAGCTATGGTAAAATTGCAAAAGTTCAGACAAAATAGACTATTCTTATTTACACTGATAACTCTACTATATTACGGTATTAGGTGCGGTATCGGTATGTCTTTAACAGTCTACCTAGGTACCGTACCGTCCCCATAAAAAAATTTCAATTCCAACTAACGGTGGTACACCACAGGGGGTCTCTATAAAAAACTTTCAATTCCAACTTCCGCTAAGGCGGTGAGGCACATCCGAGTCACTACTGTAATAAAATAATGGTCTAGTTATGGAAGCTTTTCTTGTCAAAAAAAAACATCTAATAATTACAAACCGTCACCGTGCTGAACGGTTATTTTTGTCATATTCGGTACCGTACCATAACAAGAGGGTGAAAATTAAATCCTAACAGAAACGGGGTCTCGTGTAGTTTCGTACCTAACGTACTTCTAGTGTGCGTAACATAAAAAATTTTTGATATGTCAATCTTAACCCCCATCTGACTACGCCATCCAAAAATTACGTCACTACGACATCACAATCAGTCAATCACGTCATAGTGCTTGCCAAATATACGTACGATCGCCCGAAATGGCATTGGCGCCGACGATAAAGGACTGACTGACATTATCGATCTCTCTCCTATTGGAATCGTTGCGATGAGAAAACGAGAGAAATAACTGTTCGATTTCGGTGGTTGTTTGCGCGTCTTGGATGGCAGTTTATATAGTTTGAAGGACTCTATCTCGTCACTGTGACGTCGTAATGATGTAATTTTTGGATGGTGTAGTCAGGTGGGGGTTTGGATTGATACGTGAAAAAAAATGTTAGCTAATAGGTAGAATAAAGATCCCCAACCTATTCTTCTATAACATTAATTTAATAACGATACAGCACCGGTATCCTAACTAGGTTAAAAACATGCCAGCATGCCTTCCGAGAAAGGTCGCTCGTATACCGGTACCAGTTGGATATCGCAAAGCCAGTAAGAAAAAATAAATCCGACTGAATACCGGTACGTGAATGTGAATGAACTACCATTTTAGATGACTAAGGTCTATCAAACGTCACTCTCTTAATCCTAAATGCACAAGTGCAGTTTCAAGTATAGAGCTACCGCAAAACCATCACGGGATTTCCAAACCATGGCCGCTATGACCAAACCCACGGCGATTAACTTTTTTAGTTGCCACAAACCTTCCCCGAGCATCGACTTCCTTGTTTACTTCGTGACATTGGCCAATCAGCAAGATGCAAAAAGTGACGTAACAATGCCCCCTTTTCGCATCCGCTCAGACACTTTTCTCACTCAGACAGATTTTCGAGCGTTGTTGTAAACATTATCTCGTTTTCGCGCTTTTGAACTCTATTCGCTAGATTTCAGTTTTGTTTCCGAAACTTAAATATAAATCAGATAATTCAATGATCACTCGCCATCAAATTGTCCCAAATCGTGTTATAAAATGTTACATTTTATTAAGTGAATATGCCAAGCTAAAAGCTCATTTCCATCATCCCTAAATTTGTTAATCAAATCACAATACTTCTTCATTGAGCTCCCTGTTCAATCTAATTTGCATGAATGGCCTGGACTAATGAATTGTATATGTTATGTGTAATCACACTTCTTCATTTAATGTTTATATTCAAAGTGCACAAAATCATTTTACGTAGGGTTATAAAATATTGCATCCTATAATTGTATTCCTATATCAAGTCAACTTTTTTGCCAACTGTGTGTCTTTCATTCACTTGATTTATAGTTTATTATCGAATTTATTGATTATATTGAATTTAATATCGATTTATTTTTGCTAAGTCAACACTTTACCTAAATATTTGCATGAATGGCCTCGTCCAAATAAATGCATTTTGTATACAACAAAAATCTGTATTGTCTCTATGACCCAACCCGTGCTTCTGATTATAAAACACTAGTATGCGTATGTTATAATGGAACTCCACCCTTGTTCAAAATTCTGCATGTTCTGTATTAACTTATCTTCACCAATAAATTTACAAATTACCCTAATAAATCGTATCCTATTAGAGTACCTGGGCTCCACTAAGCAGTTTATATTTTGGAAATCAAATTCAATATGTGGCGAATTTCGGTCAGTTGAAAGAACCGTATACCATAGTTTTCGCTTTGATAATAAAACATGTAAATATTGTATATAGTAAACAAACACGAGAGGTATTAATAGATTGACACCGAACCTGTTATTTATTTTTTATGTTTATTGAATTGGGTGGCAACTGACTCCGATGACCTCCAAAGGTCGTATCGTTGCCTCCCAGTCATGTACCGAAAACATTTTTTAATTTTGTTATGTATGTATGTATATATTGTTTTCTTGGTTTGACAAAATGAAATAAACTCTCTCTCTTTCTGTCTTCATCAACGACGAAGGGTAAAGTATATGAAGAATTTTCCGCGTGTCAATGGTCGGGGAAATGTCCATAGCAGGGATGCCTGTTATGGTGATAGGATAGGGATAGGATTTACCACTGTGAAGCTAGCAGCACTTTCAGCCAGAATATTTTTACACATTGAATATAGGTTCCACGCGCCGGGGGAAAGAAACGCCGATAATACGGCTTAATCATATGGCGAACCACGGCCTCTCGTCCGGTTACCAGTCCAGGTCAGGTATGGAATTAGTTAGCCAGTTATTTGTTTTCGGAAGCATGGACTTGATGGTGGAGGAAACCGCAGCCGACCAGCGGTTACGTGAACCACCCTACGGCGGCGAGGAGTCCAGCAATCCTCTCGCACATGATCATCCCCATTATTTATTATTCAATTATTGAAAATTCCACTTTGTTGGAACCATAAAAAAAAATATTGGGTAATCTGGAAGGGGCATGCTCAAATATAGTATAGAGTACCGGTACCGGTATACTGTAACAGCCTGAAAGTTCAATCTGTTCTCGTATCTTTTGTTTGTTTATTTCTGTCCCAAGCCTCGTTTTACCCTGGTACCGGTACCGGTACCGGTACAGCGCGAAACACCGCAAAGAGCGCAAAACAGAGAGAAACAGCGCAAAACAGTGGGGAAACAGTGTGAAGCAGAAAAATTTTTTGCAATGAGTTCGGAGCACCTTGTTTTGAGTTGGAGTACGGTACCATGGCAGCAAATTAAAAACACAAACCAACGTATGTAGCCAGTAATGCTGTAATGACAGGTCTTCCCCTGCTGGGCACACATTTTGGGTACCATAATTTAGAACATTTTCCATATGGATATGGTTGGCTTTAGGGTTAGGTAAAAAGGGACCTCGAGAAGTATGTGTACAAGATGGCGCACATCCGGAAAATAGTATGTGTGTGTGTGTAGCGGATTCAGGTTGTGTGACATATTGCTGCACATACTTCTGGAGCACCAAAAAGGTGGATAAAATTTCGCATGATGACTTATAATCTGGTACATAACCTTGTAAATATACCGGAAATAGCGCCATAAAACCATGGCGAGAGCGCCGTGGTTCTTTCGTGGCAGCAGGTGGTAATGACTGCCTCTCCTATTTTGCGCTGTTTCCCTCTGTTTTGCGCTGGTTTCTTTCTGTTTCGCGCTGTTTTGCGCTGTTTCGCGCTATTTTGCGATGTTTTGCGCGATTTTGCGCTCTTTGCGTTGTTTTGCGCTGTATTTAGTAAGTAGTAAGATCCTATCAGGACTGATGACTGAGGTGATTGCTGAGCTCATGTTTACCGATTTCTTGTGGGAAAACGGATGCATGCATATCACAGTATCAATTACCGAAATCGTTTATAATGCTATAAATTTTTTCAATCATTCCAGAAGAGTTCGGAAGGTATATCCACTCTGATTGAATTGTTATTTTTCATCGTCTTTTAATCACATTAAAGTTACTACCATCATGAGGGGATTGAATTGAGCTGTACTGTATATAGGTTTGCGTCTCCACTGACTGAATGAGATAAATACTGAAATATGAAAATCTAATGAGCTTGGATCAGGGTATAACTTCAATCTTACATGACACGTGTTTTGTCCCCAAATTTCTGAATTGTGTGTTATATGAATGGTTTCTGATAAATTTTATAAGAGTCAGGAATGATCAGCTGGGATTGATTAGCGTTAGAAAATTCTGATATTATTAGCTTCTAATTTTAAAAAAGAAATATTAAATTACCCAGATCATATACTGGTATAATATCCTCCTACTACTGTTCAATTGGGATCAATGATAATGCAGAATACATTGTGTTATTCTGGCTGAAAGTGCTGCTAGCTTCACAGTGGTAAATCCTATCCCTATAGAATATTTTCAGCCAGAATATTTTTACACATTGAATATAGGTTCCACGCGCCAGGGGAAAGAAACGCCAGTAAGACGGCTTAATCATATGGCGAACCACGGCCTCTCGTCCGGTTACCAGTCCAGGTCAGGTATGGGATTAGTTACAATAGTTAGTCAGTTATTTGTTTTCGGAAGCATGGACTTGATGGTGGAGGAAGCCGTAACCGACCAGCGGAACGTGAACCACCCTACGGCGGCGAGGAGTCCAGCAATCCTCTCACACATGATCATCCCCATCATCCCATTATTTATTATTCAATTATTAAAAATTCCACTTTGTTGGAACCATAAAAAAAAAAAATATTAGGTAATTTGGAAGGGGCATGCTCAAATATAGTACAGTAGTATATAGTACCGGTATACTGTAACAGCCTGAAAGTTCAATCTGTTCGCGTATCTTTTGTTTGTTTATTTCTGTCCCAAGCCTCGTTTTACTAGGGTTTGTGTCTTTTGTAATTTTTTGTGTGTGTGTGCTGGTAGTGGTGGGTGCATGGGCACATGATATTTCTCATGTTTGAAACTTTTCTGCTCGCTTCCCAGAACTCTCCATTTTTACTTTGTCTGTTTGTGAGTAGTATGCAGTTTTTAAAGTAATCCATCCATCACAGTATCACGAATGATGACTGAGGTGATTGCTGGGCTCGTGTTTACCGATTTCTTGTGGGAAAACGAATGCATGCATATCACAGTATCAATTACCGAAATCGTTTATAATGCTATAAATTTTTTCAATCATTCCAGAAGAGTTTGGAAGGGAAATCCACTCTGATTGAATTGTTATTTTTCATCGTCTTTTAATCACATTAAAGTTACTACCATCATGAGGGGATTGAATTGAGCTGCGTCTCCACTGACCGAATGAGATAAATACTGAAATATGAAAATCTAATGAGATTGGATCAGGGTATAACTTCAATCTTACATGACACATGTTTTTTCCCCAAATTTCTGAATTGTGTGTTATATAAATGGTTTCTGATAAATTTTATGAGAGTCAAGAATGATCAGCTGGGATTGATTAGCGTTAGAAAATTCTGATATTATTAGCTTCTAATTTAAAAAAAAAAATATTAAATTACCCAGATCATATACTGGTATAATGTCCTCCTACTACTATTCAATTGGGATCAATGATAATGCAGAATACACTGTGTTACTGATCTGCTAATGTTATATTTATTAAGTATATTCTACATATCTTGTAAATTTATAATATCATAACATTGCAATTTTTGCACAGATAAAGTAATATATTGGATATTGCATACATCAGGTATTAGGTTGCAAACTTGAATCATGTCATATCCACCACATCAACCTGGGGGATATCCAACTGCACCTCCTCATCCTAACCCACAAGGATATCCTCCTCAACAAGGTAATATTCATTTTTGCTGTTATGAATACATTTCTGCAATTACTCGAAACCAAGAAATATCCTGGAACAGCTCAATGTTAATTTAAGTAATGGGCTATTGTAATAGTCCCCTACTGTCCTACAAGATTTTTAATTTCAAACGATTTAATATTTTTCAAGTTTGTCACTTTTACAGTATAGGTGTTGATATTCAGATATTGGCTGGAAGGAGCATAAAAGATATGGCTAAAAGCAAATAAAGTGTTGGGAGTTGATATAACTAGAACCCATATGTGCAGCTCTTAGAGTGTTAGTTGTAGACATTACCATTAGTACCACGAAATGTTTACCTATAGTTCAGAGCCACCTACCTTGCTTTAAGCAAACTCATGATAATACAAAAATTTTCTTTTGCACAATGTTGTTCTGACTAAATATATTTCTTTTTCATTTGGTGCTACCTGTTTTTCCTTGAAATAAGTGTTTGTTCCTAAAAAGTTGTATTTTACCGTGCATTTCTTTATCTGAATTCATACAGACATAAATTCTTTATACACATGCGTCAGCCTTAATATTGAACAACAGTCAACAATGCTTTCAAGTTATATTTTCTAATGGAATCTTAATAATTTGCAGGTTATCCAGCACCACCACCGCCAGGCTATCCTGGAGGACCTCCACCACCCCCTGGATACCCGCAAGCACCACCTGGTTATGCACCTGGTGCCTACCCAGCCCCACCAGCTCCTGGATATCCTCATCAGCCACCACATCCAGCAGGATATCGTCCTCCAATGGGACACAACCCTCATGGTTAGTTTCTTGAAGTGCAAGGTTAAGTGCTGGACAATTCCATTTAAAGAAATAAGGATTTTAATTTGTAAATACAGTTTTTGGCCTTTCAGCATGGGAGGCTTGCGTTTGCTCAAATAGTATTTATCTTTTGCTTAGGATGTGTTTCTGGAGTCGCTTATTGTATCTGTAAAAGCCCAATTCAAATTATATTTTATAACAAAATTTTGAACCGTGGTATTCGAATAGTTTTTTAACTTCTTTATGAATGCAATTATATTTAGTATTGATCATGAACTTAAATTGACTGATAGGTGACAAAAATTGAATAGCTGTTATAATTTGTCATGTTTACCTAAGTGTGTACAAACAAAATGTTTATAATATGGTAACTCTGTATTGCACTTACGTTAATTGGAATATCATTTGACTGTAAATATATGATTTCAGTATGAGTAATGCCATTACCGAAATAAATCACAGCAATTTTGTTATCAAATGTGAATGAAAATCTATTTTAGGTGCTTATGCTGCTGGTGCAATGGCTGGTGGTGGTGCAATGGCCTATGGTATGCATGGGCATAAAAAGCATCATAAACACCATAAGCATGGAAAACATTCATCAAGTTCAAGCTCCAGTAGTAGCAGCAGTGATGATGAATTTGTGAGTTTTTGCTATTGCCGGTTCAATTTTGGTCAGATCTCTGACAAGTTGTGAATTTAGTGTACTTATAATTTGACTTCAGTTTTATTTGCTGGTGTTAACTAAATATACCCATATCATATTCATCAAATATTGATCAAGAATGATTATGTACATTTACATAAGGGTGTGGCTAGTAAGCCAGTCTATCTCGTTATATATCTCAAAATAATCTTGTCGCAAACATGCTCTGGATTGTTTTATATTCTTCTAGTTGGTTTATATTTAACCCAAAGTGAAGAGACTCGAAGAAGACATAGTATATGTCACTGTACTTTTTGTTCTATATTTATTTGTGTAGACGGTTAACTTGTGGGTGCTTGGAAATTTCCGTTCCCAATGACTTTATTTATCTTGAAAATATTTCTAAATATTTGAAGGGAAGAATAGTACGTTATGTCTTTTTCGACTTTTTTCATCGAATTATTCATTCAATTCTAGCGCCACCTGCCCAAACATGAACGCAAGAGGATGAAAAAGATGAAGCAAATGAAAAAAGGACACAAGATGCATTATTAATCAATTACTCAACACAAATTGTATTTGAATATAGAAACTATTAATCGCTAGCTAGTGAAAAACAATTTTTAAAGGCAGATAGTCAACCACTGCTGTCAACAGATTTTGTGTTTTCACTCCTTACTAATCCTCAAGGTAGGCGTAAAGTAAACTATTATATTTTGTGGATTGGTTGCCTGGATTTTATTGAAGTGGTATTCCTGATAATCACTATATTGGGTCGTACTATGTATGTTTTATTTAGTGCCAGATTTCTATGATTTCAAATGAACGTTTACAACAATAAATATTTAGTCATTCGTATTGCTTTGAGTGAGATATTTTTATAATCATGATTTCATGCCTATTAATAATCAATATATAATTTCAAATTGCTATATAATGTTATGCACTTTTTTGGGCGCTTTCGAAGTATGTGCGCCATGATGGCGCACGACCTGAACCCTAATCTGGTACACATACTATGTTCAAGATGTGCGCCATCTTGGAGCACGTACTTCTCGAGCTCCCTTTTTTGTTGTCTGTAATGTTTTTCCCGCCTTGAAACAATCTATGTACAAAATTATTTCCCTATTTACAGGGGATAATGAATTGATAAAATACAACATTGTTCAAGTAGTTATAGCATGCTTGAAAATAGGAGTCTTATGGGTGCTCTCGAAGTATGTGCACCAAGATGGCGCACAACCTGAACCCTACCCTGGTACACATACTGTTGTGCGCCATCTTGGTGAACATATTTCTGGAGGTCCGTTTTATGATGGGAATTGAAAATTGGTGGCAAAAATCCATGTACACAAACCTTCTACTGCAGTCATATGCTTGTATACAATATGCTTTGTGGTATTTATTCAATTGTTTTCAGTTATGCTGTGCCTTCATTTTTATTTGAAAATTATGGTATGCAATTGTTGAATTGTAATGTTGCAAGCAACTCCACTTTAACACTCAGCTTCAAAAAATTTTGCGGTGTTTATTTTAAACATACCATTAGGTAGTTAATATAAAGATTCTAGGATGTTAAATATATTATAATCAGGGCCCTCATGCCATCCCTATTTTTGAGATTTATCTTTATTCATCGGACTCACATCTTACAAAATGAGCTTGTCCTTGTTTTCATAATTTGCCCCATTCTTTCAAAAGCAAAGTGCATAGTTAATTATGAATTATATGGATAGGGTACTTACATTTTAATTTCTGGTCATTTCGAAAGTATTGTTGGTAGAATCGGTAAGGCTATTACTTTCTTGCTCCGAAAATTTCAGTAAACAACTGCCTATATCATTTTCATGTTTGCTGTGGTATTATTATGTTTCTATGTATGTGAAACGTATATGGCTCGTTAAGGTAGCAAAATATTATTTTGTCCTCATAATTGCACCTAATTTATAGAAATATAACCATATTGAAACATTTGTTTGAAGCTTATTGTTGTCAAAAAATAGAATATGTAGAAGCGTTGTTTCAAACAAACTACATGCAAAAGATTTATGGTCTACATGAGGTTTTCTCATCAGTTGCAATTGTAACTTGCAAGTATACCAGTACCCAACGCAAAATATTTGTCTCAACACAAACCTGCCCAGAGTTGAAACTATGGAGGCCAAAAAGCTTTCAGTTTCAAGGTCTTGTGTGACAATTATGTTTGCCAGAAGCCCAGAACTAATAAATTGCCAAGACATGAAAGGGTGTGGTACAAACTCTGGTCCTTCATGATGATGATGATGTTTTCATCTTCTGCAATCCTTTTAGTATTTGGTGTTGTCAGACGACCCATTACTAAACTGTGTCGATTTCTAGAAGACCAGAAATAATGGATCGAATTAATGTTTCATTTACAACGTTTAATTTGTTAGAATATATTCCCTGGGTCATATATTCGGGTGGGGGTATGTTAAGTTGTAAACGTACGTTGTTTACAATTTTGTCGTACATTTTGCCACTGTATGCAGTGCATCGTGCGCTGCCTTGTAACCAATCATTGTAGACCCATTATTACCCTTTTTTCCCTTTGCTTGTAGCGTAAATTAGTAATATTATCTGTCTATCGTCTATCACGTCTATTCCTGAAGATAAACTAATATTCCAAGACGGGAAAACAAATGATTTTGGATTTATTCTTAAGAAACATATCGATGCGGAGAGATACAGGCTTCTAACTTCGAATGGTCCGAAAAACGTGACGATTCTGGATACCGTTAGACAAAGTCGTAGTAAATTTCTCAAAAAATGGCTTGACGATGACAGATTTTGCAGTTGGTTAGTATGCACCCAACTCTCTGATGGGGGTGGATTTTGTATTCACAAAAAGCCAGCTGAGTCGTTGAATCAGTTTGCTTATTGATAAACTGTTGTTGTTTCGCTCTTGAAGAAGGGGTGTCTCAAACCCAATATAATTTCTAAAATTTTCAAATTTGCCCCCCCCCCAAAAAAAATTTTTGGGCTGACTACGCCACTGTATAGGTGGTTATTAATTTCCAGTTTAAAGTTTCATATATTTTTCGGAGATGTTATAGTGCAGGGTAAGATTAATGATTCGCCTCTGGATCAAACCGATTTTTGCAATGATCGAAATTGGGGTGAGTGGCGGGTGAATGAATATTTAGCAAATATGACAGTTATAGTAAAGACATTACCGGTACTTTCATTTTCGTAAAACTACATTAACATTAAATTTTGGGCTGGCTACGCCACTGTATAGATGATTATTAATTTGGTGTATAGATGGTTAAATGCGCGACATGAAATATTGAAGTTCAAATAATATCGTTTTGTTTGGGTCAGATTGCAAACAACGATTCAAGCAACTATCTTACAGTAATAGTTGAATAAATAAAAAAAAGCAATTCAAACCTAAAGAAAGAAATGAGTCGGCAATGATTTAGTAACCGCGAAATTTAATGGCATTGGGGTCATCTTAATTAATTAAATAATTATAATAGGAACTCTAGGTTTTACACTGATATATGCTTGATCGACATCTTGGTCACTTTTTATATCTGCTATTATCGTGATGTCTCAAAAACGCCGTGTCCTACTTGTTCAACACTTGTGTGTTGTGTGGGAAACATGGGACAAATTATACAGGTGTGACACGCAGGACAAGTGTGGCACCTGGAACACAACATTTTTGAGATACCGTGATTCTATAGAAATTTTGAAGCTTTTGCTGTCATTTCGTGAGTGGTCGAAGTCTTCGAGAATTGTGTTTTTTGCTGAAACCTATCTGCTAAAATGTTGTATATATTTGTTGGGGTTATTGGTTTTTTTTCTCCGCAACTTAGGAACCTATCAATTTCAAATTCTGTACTTGAAAGTTGTTAGAAGGCTATTCATATTTTTTCGAATTCCCTAGTGGCCAAGTCCTTTGGGACCCTAAATGGGCCACTTTTTATGACGTGCGGAGCAAACACTGTTCCCAGCCTAAGACCAGGGCGCCTTCGGAGCACCTTACATTTTTGTGAAACATGCGCACCCGCACGGGTAATACTCCGTCTTCAAACACACCGCCGATCACGCGCCACGGTTTTGCACAACTAATTACAATTTAATATGGTTTTCTCATTGTCAAAATCTTTCAATAGTGTTATTGTTTATTGTTGGCACTTGCGAGAGAAGTGAAAGAGGCAAACTGTATTTCATTACAACAATTAATCATTATCGCTAAAACATAAATAGATTTAAAGTTGTTATAAACAATTTTCACCGCTGGACGTATCTTTTCACGTTATGGATTTCGTGCAAGGCCCAGAATAATTTGCGGGCAAATATCAAAGCAATTACTATGTCAAAACGCTTATTCGACTTTTCAGACCACAGAAACTATCTGAAAAAGATGCACCCCCCCTTTTGAATTTTTTCAAAAACTGAAAAAGTCGCCAATAACGCATTCAATTGCCTTTTGCTAAAACCGCCGATTGTTTTCATCATTGTGACCTGTTACGTTGGCGTTTATTCTCATTAAATCACAAATTTTCCACAAATTTGTGACACGATGACTATGATAATTATTTTATTTTTGTACTAGCACGGAATTATGAACCCGGCAAGAATTCTTAGAAGTTCATCCGAGATTTATATTTTTTAATTGAAAAGCGGCAATATAAAATACTAAAAATGAAACAGTAAACAAAACACGTTTTGTTGAGGCCCGCGACAGTCTAAAAACGCTTTTTTAGGCATCGAAAATCGCAAAATTTCGTGTTCCTACGGCACACATTATAGTTGGTTGGCCTTCAAAAACGATTCATTACGTTACGGTTAGTTAATTGTGGGCGGGGTTTGACTTTTTTTATCCATTACTTTTAAATTGACGTCGAAAATTTTCGTGTTGACTTTAAACAAGGTTGAGTACGCGACTTTTTTCCGGTTTGTGATGATATATAAGATAATTAAAGTCTATTCGATTAATTTTTATTGTACTGAAATAAATTTTACTCCGTGAGAATGGACAGAAAATAGTGGCAGTATTGCGATTGAGCGGAGTCAGTGTTACAAGTACATCTCAAATTTATCGAATTCGCAAAATAGCAAAAATACGGATCAAAAGGCAAAACAATATACAAACGGGCAGTTTACCACACATTTTATGTCCGCGGATTGCCGTAGTGTTTTAGAGTGGCTCTTGTTTTGTCGACGCAACCGCAATTTAAATTGAAGACAATTAAATTAATAAATCAAGACATTTTAAATATGCCCGTATCGGTCTTTGATTGATTACTTTGCGCAAGTAAAAAATCATTTTTCGTTGAAGAGTCCACTCTTTTAACAAGTGGCGTAATCGCACTGTTCGGCGTGGATTTCGAGGCGGTGAATTTGTATTTTTGATTTACTTGTATACTTTATAATTATTTTCATTGTATGAAGTAAAATTGTACTACACGGGATTTTATATCAGATATCGAGATTTTTGTAACGGCGATAACGATATCGGAAGATTGCAAAAATACGTATCAACTATCAATATTAAATAGATCTGGCAGGTTTATGGTGGCCCATCGTTGTCACGCGTAAAATTTAAAAAAAAAATGAAAATAAATAAATTCAACATGAAAATGTTCTATAAATTCTTCATGCTACAAGTTCAACCACGAGCAATATAATTATAATAATGATAAGAGAATATAGAATTGAATACGAAAATTTGTTTTTACGTGTAGAAGGTAATTTAATTGGAAAATGCTGCTTAACTGCTCAGTTGTCTGGACACTTGTGCGATGTCGGTACGGTACCGTCTGACCATGCAATCACTCATGAAAGAATGGGAGATACGGATAGTCTCGTAGAATATAGACTACTGAAACACTCTCTGCGCCTGCCCCATACCGTACAGTCGTAACGTACCGATCCAGACAAATCGCCCTTGCTCAACCATTTATTTCAATTCATACCTCGACTCACTATATTCTACTAGGATCGAGGTATGGATTGAAATAAATGGTTGAGCACGGGCGATTTATCATTTGTCTGGATCGGTACGTTACGTCTGTACGGTATGGGGCAGACGCAGAGAGTGTCTCAGTAGTCTATATTCTACGAGACTATCCGTATCTCCCATTCTTTCATGAGTGATTGCATGGCTACCGGTACGGTCAGACGCAAAGGGACTATAACCGACTACCGGTATTTGGTAAGACGGTACGGTACCGGCATCGCAAGTGTCCAGACAACTGAGTAAGTAGTTAAGCAGCATTCTCCAATTCAATTAACTTCTACACGTAAAAACAAATTTTCAGAATTTTCGTATTCAATTCTATATTCTCTTATCATTATTATAAATATATTACGTCTTATTGAACTTGTAGCATGGAGAATTTATAGAACATTTTCATATTGAATATTGCTCAAGAAAATCAGTAGTGAGTTGGAAACCCAGGGAACACATTTGTGCGCGTAAGATTATGCCTGACAACGTTGGTCCCAAGCAGAAGCAAATTTTCTAAAAATAAAAACGCGTGACAACGATCAACCTTTTTATTTTATTTTTATTCATTTTTTTTTTTTTTTTTCAATTTTTTTTTTTTTTAATTTTTTTTTCCATTCTTTTTTTTCGTTTTTATTTTCAATTTTTTTTTTTTTAATTTTAATTTTTTTTATCATTTTATTTTTCAATTATTTTTTATGTTTTTTCACAACTATTTTTTTATTTTCGGTTTTTTATTTTATTTTTATTTTCAATTTTACGCGTGACAACGATGGGCCACCATACGAGGTGTGGCTAAAAAGAAACGAGACTGACGTCACAGATTGCGCAACACGATTAACCATTGGTAATCAACACTTTTACAGTGTGGTGTAATATGTGTTCTTTGTTCAACAGCTTTTTTGACACAATATCGCAATTATTTTTGCTCTTTAGGAGTCGTAGGTGAATGTGATTAATTGCTTGTTGAAAAAAAAATTGCCGTGCGAGATCTGATTGAGTTTTTTGGCGATAGGGGGTTCAATTGCAGAATGACGATTGGGCAAAGAGTTAACATTAAATTTTGTGTCAAACTTGGAAAAATGCATGTCAACTGGGCAACATTTAATCGTTGAGCTTTCTGCTCCTCAGTCAACAGCCTTGGCACCATTTTGGCACTCACCTTTCACAAGCCAAAAGTGTCAACCAAACTGGTGCGAACCGTTTTTTTTTGTCTTTTCCAACTTCGCAATGACGCGAATTTTTGAGCGACGGTCGCTGCGAATCAACTGCCTTTCACAACTGAACTCACAACTGATACCTTTTCGATGTTGGTATCAGTTGTGGAAGTGCAAGGCCTTCCTGACTTCGAATCATCCTCCACATCCCACAAATCGCTTGTGCCATTCAAAAACTCTTGTTCTGGACATGGAAGAATCTCCATAAACATCACACAATTTCTTCAAAGTCGCAGTCGCCGTTTTTCCAAGTTTGACACAAAATTTAATGTTAATTCATTGCTCAATCGTCATTCTGCAATTGAACCCCCTATCGCCAAAAAACTCAATCAGATCTCGCACGGCAATTTTTTTTTCAACAAGCAATTAATCACATTCACCTATGGCTCCTAAAGAGCAAAAATAATTGCGATATTGTGTCAAAAAAGCTGTTGAACAAAGAACACATATTACACCACACTGTAAAAGTGTTGATTACCAATGGTTAATCGTGTTGCGCAATCTGTGACGTCAGTCTCGTTTCTTTTTAGCCACACCTCGTACAGGTTACTTATATTTTTATGTCCACAAATCGACGTTGTATTTTAATTCACGAATATTTTTATTTTGACGTAAGAAGTCGCAACCGCGAGTTACGTTGCACACAATTAAATTAATAAATAAGGACATTTTAGAATCTCGTGGCTGACATGGATTGAATATTTTACGCGACAGAAAAATCATTATACGCCTAAAAAGGCGGCTCTTTTAACGAGCGCTTAATCGCGGTGACTGTTACAGACGGCAATGGGGATTTCCGACTTTGACCCCTCTCCCCCTTTTTTTTTGGAGAATCCTGGCTGCGCGCCTGAACTCGTGCCTGTTTATTTTCGTATCAAATTATGAATAAAAACCCTGCAAAGTCATTGCGTGAATCCTGAATGTTATTTCGAATTCAAATGATGATTTGATAAATCGGCAATAATGGAAATTCTACTAGTCAAATCATCAAATGATAATTCCTTGGTAAAATTTAGGAAAAAATTCGCACAATAGCTTGTTACCTTGTTTTGCATTTCTAATTTTACGAAACGGCGTTAGTGCGCCGTAATACTTCGACAGGTTATTGTTACGTGACAATACACGGCGCGGTGTTTTTCGGCAGGCGATCCAAGTTCGCCCCCCCCCTCCCCCCCCCCGAAATGATGGAAAGTGTCCGCCCCTGACTGGGAGCTAGCGCACGATCTCAGGTTTGGGCACATCTTCCACAAAGTTATAGTAGCTTTGATCTTTCCCAAAGGTGACGCAAATCATAGTCACATAAACATGGAGAGATTTTATTTCACATGGCAACATTAATGAGTAATCATATACAATGTTAAGTATAAAAGCTAGTACCGTACGGGGCCAGTCCGAAAAAAATAATAAAAGTCATCAGGCTCCTTTCCTGTTGTGTCCACCAGTGTTAATGCTACAGTAAGACTAATGAAAAAACAATTAAAATATGAGGCAATATGAAGGAAAATGAGTCGGCAATATTTAAAAAATTTGATATTGCTGAGGTCATGTGAATGTTACATAAAAATGTCAGGTAAATCAAGTCAAGAAATGAGTCAGCAATACAAATTTGAAATTCATGTGAACTTCCAGACCCAGAAAATCATTAATCTGCTCAAGTATTTTCATGTTATTCCTTGCTGCGTGGTTCACTGTTAAATTTGTATTTTTATTCAAACAAATTTTATATACAGCAGTCAGTCACTAATCTAAGGCCGCTGTCTATTTTACGCTTCAGATGCATTCAACACAACCGCATTCAATTCAGTTTCCACTTTCCATAGTCTTTTTTTGTTGAAATCACCATATTGAGCCAGTTATCCAATGTCTGTACATTCTTGATGGATTCACATTATCCTATCTCTTCTTTCAATTGAATCCCTTGTTGAGGGTTACTGGATCGCAAAGTATTGGGTTGCTCAGAAGTAACCACAATCGAAGAAGTAAAAAGGCTATGATTATTCAGGCTCTGAATATGGTACGCAGAAAAACAGTCCCCAGGATGAAGACCCGGTTTCCCTTGGCAAGTATCACAATAATATCTTGTATCTTTGCGCCGTCCGTTCTTTCTCCGTTCACTGCAAAATTTGCATTCTCTGGCCCTTTGGCCAGGTTCACGCTTCTTCTGTACATGGAAATAACCTTTTGATGGATGTAGCCCTGGAGTTGATGATAATGGCCTTTCCCGCTGCTGACGTGGAAAATGCTCTCTTCCAAGATCGACAAGATCAGGCACTAAGTCCTGACGAAAACTCAACAAAGAAGGATTCTTTCCTCGCTGCTCAGGTCTCGATTGTTTGTATAATAGATAACTATTAGTTACACAAATTTCTAAAAGCCAAAAGAACATTTTTTTCCACCACAGTTCTGATTTCCTACTAAAGTTGTAATACGATGTATTCTGATCTGATAAATCAACCCCACCCATGTATTGATTGTATTCTTCAACTGCTAGTGGTTTTTCAACTATTTTTTCACTTGTTTTCATCTTCTTCCTAATTAGTTCGTCCCCCCTGTAGTATGTTGATATCATTATTACTTGTCTTTTGTCTATCCAATTTTGCAGTAAAATTTTCCCACTTCGCATTGATATTATTCCTTTTTTATTTGCTTTGATCTGAGCAGGAATTCCGCTTCTGTTTGCCCTTATTGTTCCTGTGAGATACGTTCTTTTATTATGCAGATGATCAGCTAAATCCAAAGATGTATATAGTCGATCACAGAAAACATGGTAACCTTTGTTGAGGTATGGTCCAAGTAGTTCAATAATTGTAGATGATGGTTTTGTTAAATTTTGAAAGCTTTCTTTTTGTTCTACTTTGCCGTAATACATCATGATATTCAGTAGATATCCGGTTTTAGCATCTGCTAATGTTCTAGCTAGGAGTCCCCACTTGACTGGCTTCCTTGGGTTATATTGTCGAAATTGAACAAAGCCTTTGTAACCAATCATAGACACATCGGCTGATAATTGCTGATATGGAATGAAATGTTGCTGAAATTTTGTAACAATGTAGTTGATAATAGGTTGGATTTTGTCACCTTTTCCCCTTTTGCTCTCATCAATGTCATAACAATGTAACAATGATTTAAAAATGTTCTGAAATCTGTTTCGAGACATAGCTTTACGAAAGTAGTCTACACGAATTTGAGGCGATTCTGACCAGTAGTCAGTAAGACGAGGCAACTTTACTATTTCCATGTTAAGTAGAAGTCCAATAACCAAGTACATTTCAGGTACAGTAACATTTTCCCATTGATGTAGGCGAGAATGAGGTGATAAGAGTGTCTCCTGTATTTTTTTATCCGCATATTTATTTGTTTCGTCCACTATCATTTTTACCAATTCCTCGGTGAAAAAGAGCTTGAAATATTCAATTGGTTTGCTATCAGCCTGAGGTAAATCTTTCCCTCCAGAACCCTTGTCTCGGAAGTTGTATGGGATATCAGGTCCATCTTCATCATTTGACGTTACATTACGCCAGTTGGTGTATCTGCCCGCAGCAGTTTCAGCTTGGGCACATCTCGTATCCTTTGGCCTACCCCTCCTCCTTTTTGTAGGAGAAAAAAGAGCTTCAGATACTCTTGAACCGCTAACGTAACCAAAATGATTAGCTCTTTTTCGTGTGGCTGTAAAAGTGGAAGGAGTCGAAAGAGCCTCAGATTCTTCAGAATCGCTACCATAACCAATGTGTCTGTCTTTCTTAGGTGTGGCTGAAAGTGTGGAAGGAGTTGAAATAGCCTCAGATACTGCACCTCTTGGCCTATGTTTTTTAGTTTTCTCTGGTGAGGGGGAAGTTGAATCAGCGTCAAAAAACTCTGAATCAATATCTGAATCGGTACCATTACCAACCGCGACATAATCTTTATCGCTGTCTTCATCCAGGTCTAAAATGAATACAGTATGTCAGAGTTTCTAGCGTATTAACTAGTCTACACCAACTCACTCAGATTAGATTCAACAATTAGCCAATTACAGAATTATAACAGTATGAGGGGAATTACAAAACAAAGCATATAAAAGAACATTTACTCACCTGACTCACTATAGTCGAAGTTCTCCATATCCTCTAAAATGTCGTCATCCTCTAAAAAACATTGTCCATCCGCCATTCTTTAACAATATAATATACTCCCTGAACGAACTACAGTGATCCAGTAACTCTGACTGTGCACTTTATCATTTTAGGCTTTATATATCCATATTTAATGAATAGAAAACATAATCATTACAGCATTAGGTCATTATATATTTCATTACCAGCAGGATAGTTTCAGTCAGGTTTGAGAATGTTTATCAGAAATAAAATTCATCTGCATCAAATATTACTGTATTATGAATATATTACATACGGTAAGTGTAGCTAGTATACCAGTATACTGGTATAGTAATGCTTACTGTAGATTCCAACACTTAATACACCGGTGTCATCTTGCCACAATTTCAGCACAAAAAATACAACTTTACATCCGGGTGTCATAGCGAAAAAACTACCAGTTGCCACATTTAAAACAATATAAGATAAGGCCATTTCAGCTGGTGAAAATACAAATTACAATACAGCATTTGTGAATGAGGCATTTATAACATTATAAACATGAATGAAACGAAGTTTTGATTGAACATGTAACCTTATTCAGTAACAAATACAATACGTATTCGGAAAGCCAATAATATCATATTGAAATTTTTGATAAATAGTAATGTGAGAGTCACAAATAATAGAAAACGACACAAGCAATTTTGCTGTAGCAAAAAATTGTGCAGTGGAGGAAAATTTTCCAAAGCATTTCTGAAAAGGGATTCTAATGCAGTACATATAGAATAAATATTCAAAATAATATTCCTAAAAGCAACAAACAGATAGAAATTTCCGATACAAAGTAAGTGAAAGTAATGAATATTGAAATGACAAAAGTAATTTTGGATGTAGTCTCAACATGATTTCTGAACGTGGAATCTAATGCAGTAAACATAGAATTAGTTAAATATTCAAAAAAATATTTGGAAGGCCAACATGACATATTGAAATTTCCGATATGTACTTAGCGAGAGTTACGATTATAGAAAAATCCAATTCGCTGTAGCGAAAAATTGTGCATTAAAGGAAAAGTTTCAACATGATTTCTGAACGTGGAATGTAATGCATTAACACATAGAATTAGTTAAATATTCAAAAAAATATTTGGAAAGCCAACATGACATATTGAATTTCCGATATGTACTTAGCGAGAGTTATGATAATAGGAAACGGCCATATCCAATTCGCTGTAGCGAAAAATTGTGCATTAAAGGAAAAGTTTCAACTTGATTTCTGAACGTGGAATGTAATGCATTAACACATAGAATTAGTTAAATATTCAAAAGAATATTTGAAAGCCAACATGACATATTGAAATTTCCGATTATGTTCTTAGCGAGAGTTACGATTATAGGAAACGGCCATATCAATTCGCTGTAGCGAAAAATTGTGCATTAAAGGAAAAGTTTCAACTTGATTTCTGAACGTGGAATGTAATGCATTAACACATAGAATTAGTTAAATATTCAAAAAATATTTGGAAAGCCAACATGACATATTGAAATTTCCGATATGTACTTAGCGAGAGTTACGATTATAGGAAACGGCCATATCAATTCGCTGTAGCGAAAAATTGTGCATTAAAGGAAAAGTTTCAACTTGATTTCTGAACGTGGAATGTAATGCATTAACACATAGAATTAGTTAAATATTCAAAAAAATATTTGGAAAGCCAACATGACATATTGAAATTTCCGATATGTACTTAGCGAGAGTTACGATTATAGGAAACGGCCATATCCAATTCGCTGTAGCGAAAAATGTGCATTAAAGGAAAAGTTTCAACTTGATTTCTGAACGTGGAATGTAATGCATTAACACATAGAATTAGTTAAATATTCAAAAAAATATTTGGAAAGCCAACATGACATATTGAAATTTCCGATATGTACTTAGCGAGAGTTACGATTATAGGAAACGGCCATATCCAATTCGCTGTAGCGAAAAATGTGCATTAAAGGAAAAGTTTCAACTTGATTTCTGAACGTGGAATGTAATGCATTAACACATAGAATTAGTTAAATATTCAAAAAAATATTTGGAAAGCCAACATGACATATTGAAATTTCCGATATGTTCTTAGCGAGAGTTACGATTATAGGAAACGGCCATATCCAATTCGCTGTAGCGAAAAATTGTGCATTAAAGGAAAAGTTTCAACTTGATTTCTGAACGTGGAATGTAATGCATTAACACATAGAATTAGTTAAATATTCAAAAAATATTTGGAAAGCCAACATGACATATTGAAATTTCCGATATGTACTTAGCGAGAGTTACGATTATAGGAAACGGCCATATCCAATTCGCTGTAGCGAAAAATTGTGCATTAAAGGAAAAGTTTCAACTTGATTTCTGAACGTGGAATGTAATGCATTAACACATAGAATTAGTTAAATATTCAAAAAAATATTTGGAAAGCCAACATGACATATTGAAATTTCCGATATGTACTTAGCGAGAGTTACGATTATAGGAAACGGCCATATCCAATTCGCTGTAGCGAAAAAATGTGCATTAAAGGAAAAGTTTCAACTTGATTTCTGAACGTGGAATGTAATGCATTAACACATAGAATTAGTTAAATATTCAAAAAAATATTTGGAAAGCCAACATGACATATTGAAATTTCCGATATGTACTTAGCGAGAGTTACGATTATAGGAAACGGCCATATCCAATTCGCTGTAGCGAAAAAATGTGCATTAAAGGAAAAGTTTCAACTTGATTTCTGAACGTGGAATGTAATGCATTAACACATAGAATTAGTTAAATATTCAAAAAAATATTTGGAAAGCCAACATGACATATTGAAATTTCCGATATGTTTTAGCGAGAGTTACGATTATAGGAAACGGCCATATCCAATTCGCTGTAGCGAAAAATGTGCATTAAAGGAAAAGTTTCAACTTGATTTCTGAACGTGGAATGTAATGCATTAACACATAGAATTAGTTAATATTCAAAAAAATATTTGGAAAGCCAACATGACATATTGAAATTTCCGATATGTTCTTAGCGAGAGTTACGATTATAGGAAACGGCCATATCCAATTCGCTGTAGCGAAAAATTGTGCATTAAAGGAAAAGTTTCAACTTGATTTCTGAACGTGGAATGTAATGCACTAACACATAGAATTAGTTAAATATTCAAAAAAAATATTTGGAAAGCCAACATGACATATTGAAATTTCCGATATGTACTTAGCGAGAGTTACGATTATAGGAAACGGCCATATCCAATTCGCTGTAGCGAAAAATTGTGCATTAAGGAAAAGTTTTTTTTACTTTTTGCGTGTGTCAAATAGTGATTTAAAACACAAGGAACGCAACCAGTATATAGTTTTGTGATATTTTCCACAAGAAACTCTATATATTGGCCATGACCAAAACTATGTTCTTTCCGATTTTCGATTATTTTTTTCCAAGTCGGCAACTCGACGGCAATCTCTTCATCAATATTTATGTATTTAGTTCTGACAATTTTTTATCAGTTATAATCTCACTTTCTACAAAGTCGATTAAACTTTCATTGGACGAATTACTCTCATCGTAATTAGTAGTGATATTACATATTTCTTCCTCGTCTTCATTACTAACTGGTGAATCACTAGTAGTATTAGAGCTAGGAAATACACTTCGAGTTTCGCATTTTGGTTTTACGTCATGTGCTATTGGGCTTTTCCTTTCGGAGGGATGATCATAAAATATTCTTTGAATTCCAAATTTATTCTCTATGTCTATAGTTCTACCAGTACCAGTGTAATCAGCGCTATCAAATATTTCTTCCTCATATTTCACTTCCTCGCATATATCCCTATTATTGGTGGTATTATAGTTAGGTAATACATTTTGTGTTTTAAATTTGGGTTCTTCGACATCTACTATTTGACCTTTATTTTCTGAGATATGATGATAACATATTTTTTGAATTCCAGATTTAACCTCTACCTTTTTGCCAGCACATACAAAGGGGGTGCTTTCCCATTTGTAGTCCAAAGAAATTACTTCTGATGAGCATGGGAAAACGCAAGCAGGATGAAACCATTTTTCACACGTGTCATACTGAATCATCATCTCACCATACCACTTTCTGTTACAAAAGCAATACGTAGGAGTATTGTTTTCGATATCTATGGTTTGGTCTTGTTCACAAAGTGATCTGTTAATACGAATATTCACATCTTGCTTTTCCGGTACATTTTCAAATCGTTTTAAAATCGGTCGATCGCAAATTTCAGCATTATGAAGGGATTTTTCATTGCTACGAACCATATTTTTGCATGATTGCAATATCATATGAACATGATTCGTGAAAAATACAAGTAATGATCGAATCCTCGCAGTACTAGAGAGATTTTTCCAAAAACTGTGCAATTGAAGAAATTTTTTCCTGTGGAGAGGCAATTCGAAATTTTGTATCCCATTTACTTTAAAATATTCGCTAATAGCAAGACAAATACGTCTATTTTTCTTTCTAAATTTATGAGCACCTGTACCAGAATCCGACTTTTCACCCGCAGTTGATAGAACTATGATGCTGAACAACAGAGCTTTCAATAGGACAAACTTCTGTAAAATATTAATTTATTGCGAAGCTATTAATGTTGATCATAATTACGACATTAAAAATTACTCATTTGGGTACTCCCCTAGTGTGTGAACCAAGATGGCAGAACGTAGCATATGTACTAGGTTAGGGTTTGGCCATAATTTCAGGTACAAAATATTACGAGAGTCACTTGACTAGTCCCCGAAATCGTAATAGAATTAAAATAAGGGAAATTAGAATAAAATTATGGTCTAACCCTAAACTGGTACACATACTACGTTCCGGTGTCCGACATCTTGGTTCATATACTACGGGAGCGACCTCATTTGTTATGTACATAAAGTTTTTTAAAATAGTAACTTATAGTTATTAATTATTATGCTTCATTGCCAATAAATATTACCGCACCTGTCTTCTCATTTCAGTAAATGTTCTCCGTAGCTATTAGAAATAAGGTTCGAAAATTTCCTGTAAAAAATTAACAGATATTGTGAAAATTATGTTCATTAGCATGTGAGTATGTAAACCAGTGCGTTACTACGTCTACTTTTACTCGGCGTGAAAGGTAGATTATCAATTC